ACTTAAACAAATTGCCATAATAAAGGATTTTCAATAATACAGGAGCATATACATGATACATAGACATTCTAAACTGTGAAGTGACACGTCTGAAAATGCTGTAGATTTCGAGAAATCAATCTCATTGTGCGAATAGCCAGTGGCTTAGCCAGAAGTTTTGTCGCTACTGAACCAGCTATACGACGCGGGTACCTGGTAAGAAGATTTTAAAGCTCACGACGCACAGATTTATTAGTTAACAAGTTTCATCATTTCAGGTGGTTGGTGCGTATCAATGGTGTATTGATGTAATCTGTGAAAGCCTGTGGACTTTTGTGAACTCAAGTTCATTTATTTACCGATCCAGCAGCTCTGAACTCGCGACCTTTCTCAAGGTTGCGCGGTAGTTCTTTTCTGCCTTGCCGCTGCACTTTTTGGCCGCTTTGACTGCCATTCTGCCTAGTATTAAGGCTTCATATTTGCCATTGATCATCATTGGTCTATCTCGGGCTTCCAGCAATCAAGTCAGTAGTCGCTTGCTCCCAGACGCTACGAAATCGCACCGGGTTGGAGTGTGAAAATGATGTCACATTATGGCTTGCTTCAGCCGCTCCTTACAGGTATGACCTACGCACTGTGTTCTGTTGAAAATTTTATCCTTCCCACTGAGCGTTTATGAGGCGCTCTCTTTTTGGTTAGACTCTATATGGCTCTATGTACCTTTATTTAATCACCTTGGGTTTGGTAGGAATATGTCATCTAATTTCAGCAGTACCTCAATTTACTTTAACGGTTTGACGCATTCTTCTGTCATCTCTTCACCGGGAACTGGCGAGCCCCGCGGGTGCCAACTGTTCTGTGATACTTTCTTACCGCTGATTAGTGGAGACGAACTCATTTCAACCCGCGAAATCGGAGTCAAAATTCGGAAAGTTTTGAGCATTTGGGATGCCGCTTCATCGTGTTTTTCCTAATTGCACTTGAGCATTATTGTTATGGTTTTTAGTGGGTAAATTGGAAGGACTTCATGGGGTGGGGTGTGCAAACCTGCTGGCTGGATATCAAGTACATGCGAGCATTTCCACCCCAAAGATATTAGAACCTGTAAACTTTTCTCCATGATCACTTTGATGGTGGCATTGGAAAGAAAGATGGAAGATGACTGTTCCCGACACTACGGCATTTGGTGAACCCAGGCTGGAACTTACGACTGACCACACATCCGCGGAATTTGGCTTTCAGAACTAGAATTTATGGAAGATACCTTTGTTCCATGGACACTGTCGCTCGACGGTTAGTTGCAAGCATCTTCGTGGTCATGACTGACCGCCACTTTTGGCTCGAAGAAGTTTCGGAGGGTAAAAATATGATCGATGCACCCTCCTGGAGGGCGCAACCCGGCTACGGGCTTCACCGATCTGTTTCTCTCCTTGTTCAACCAAGCTTCGAAGAAAGAGACCAGACATCTCCTTCGATTCTGCGGCTACAAGACTAATGACGTGCTGGTTTTCATGCAGTGGAAAGTGCCCGTCTTAAAAACGGGAATGCCCACAATATGCCTCTTCTCCAGGGGCATTCTTCTCACACTATGCGGTACCAATAAGTTTTGTCAGATAATAAACCAGGAATTTTCCTCCTTTAAAGTGAAATAGATACCAAACGACTAGCCCCACTGCCTTCTAGTGTTTGAATAAGGATATTTTGTGCTTTACTTTTTCGTCTGACAGCCGAATACAGTTTACATTCAATTCGCTCACATACATTGTTTCCAGAAACCGTTTTTCCAGGAGACCGGCTAAACTGTTCTTCACTGTAGGCGTTCTTGCGTGTGAGTTAATGAGTCATAGTTTTCACTTGCCGCTTCCATGACGGTTGGTATCTTTCACCAGTCGGTCGTGTTAAGTGGGATGCTGCACGCATGATCCAGGCTGTGAAAGCCTTCTCCATCTCCTGGGTTTTCCATGTCCACCAAGGCTCTTAGTTTTCCCATAGGCTGTTCACCATTTCGTGTTCGAGGGATTTGCATGCACAGTCGTTCTGGTTGCGTATTGGTATGGGTCTCCTGGCACCAGTCAGCACTAGCGATCTTGAGGATATCCAGTCGTCAGTTGAATGTATCGGAGAAGCCGGACAAACAGCCTTAATCTCCGCTTGCATGGCTCCCTTTATTTGAGACCATGCTTCATTCATGCGCTCTTTACCAACAGTATGCTGATTTAGTGTGGAAAGCAGATCGATACCAATGAAATATGGTATTCCCCCGAAGGTTGTGGATTGACATGCTGACTTTCACGGGTCTGAACGAAGGAGGATTGTCAGACGTGCTCTCAGAACGATTTGGTCAAAGTCAGGTTTAGTGCTCCATTGGGAATGGCAGTGTTGGGTTATGGTTCCTCATTGGTAGACGATGACCATGTAATGAGAATGGGATTACAGGTTGTGTTCACTTGATCACCGCCTTATGTGAGCATTCGCACTGAGAAACCGTGCTTACCAGAAACAGTTGACAGTTAGCACACAACTGGAGAGGTCGCTCTCCGTTGTCTGGGATGTAATATTTGGTTCCGAATCGTTCTCCCGGATGTGATTTCAAGGAGCTCAGACAATTGAGTTAAGCGTTCATATCACCCGAAATGATGGCAATGTCCGCGCTTCTCGCTTGACGAATTAGTTTCAGTAGAAAGTATTCTCAGCGTCTTGGGATTGAAATTTATTTAGATGTTCAACCAAGTTATGTAGGACATGTATGTTTTTTGTCAGCGCCAGTCATTTTGGACTCATGATATGGGGCCAGAGCGACCTACAGAATGGTGCAGTATGGCTTTTTGAAAGCCTCCTCTTCAATGCAGATTACACATGACTTCGTTGTACTCATCCATCAGATAAAAGCTCACCAATGCATTGCTGGCACGGACGAGACGCCTGTTGGTTATATAGATGTTGGGGCGAACGTTTTATTAGGGACTCACCACACTTTAGCATGTTGGATTCGGTTCTCTTTTGCATGTCTTGTACGGGTTCGCCGGTTATGAGGAGAAGTAAACTCGTAAAAATCAAGCCAGTTTTTTTTCTGGCCAAGGATGCATTGACGACAGCTTAACCTTGAGATTACGTTTTACTGTCTCAAATGTCCCGTCTGGGTCTTTTTACTTGAAAATTGTTTTTGAATCTGCCTCTCATCCAAAACCCTGGCAACGTATAGCGATCGGATGTATCCTTTCTAAAATTTTATCCTCAATGCACTGTATGCGAGATCCTGTGGGTGTTTACGGGTATACGGCAAGTTTTCGCCGAAGTTCACCACTCCCAGTAGTATATTACAGGACAGCTGTCTCTCTCAACACTCCTCTTTTACTCTGGTGTTGATGTAATGGTTGAATCCTCCCTGCCTGCATTAAGTTTTGGGGGCATAAATGCTCCAGAGGCTTTTGCTCACAGACATTAAGTATGCGGACAGTGGTGCCCTTTTTGGTCCAGATTCCCCAAAGTTGCGAATCATTTGAAGCAACCTAAATGCTTTGGTATGCGTTTCACGCTTGCAAAGTGCAAAGCATTTCTACAAGACTGCGTGAGATCAGACGCAAACCCCACGCCCTAAAATGAACCAACTACGTGATAGATAAGCTTGTATGCTTGAGCAGTTGTATCATTTCCGGCGAACTGGCTGGAGAGTGGATTACTTCCCGAGTCGGAAAGGCCAGGGTAGCTTTTTCTAACATTAATCATTAGGTTTGGGCATTGGGTCGCCCAATAATAGTAAAGACCTCGCGCCTCAAATATGAGCCAGTTTAGATGTGAGTAGTACATATTTCATTACGTTGACGTTTGTACAAAGCTGGTGGTCTTACCAGAGAGTACCAATCCATCTGGAAAATTCCCGGTGGACTCTTCGGTTTGTCCGCTAGGCTGGACAGCTACATCCCTTACATCTCGTTACTACTGAAAGTTGCGCCATCAATGCATCTATGAGTAGCTTAATAAGTGTGGCCTCAGTGGTTTTGAAATCTTACTGAAACTATACTAAAGCTGACGAAGTTACAGCCAGGTCAATTTCAATAACCAGTGGCTGATGCCCCTTTTTGACAAACAAGAAGTCCCTGACATTTTCTATATTTTCGGAGGCCATTTGCACTGGAAAGGCATGACTGGATTTCTTCAGGTGATATTGCGATTCAACTACTATTGTCCTGCAGAACGAAGAAGTAAGGCTTCTAGGACATCGAGTTCCAAGTCCAACTTTGTTCGTAGGCCCAGCTGAAACGATATCCCACTCATTGGATACACCTGTTAGAAGATACACGAGGAAACATGAATCGGGATGACAGTCGTCGACAGGTTTCCTTTGACAATAGGAGGGTGAAAGTGGTATGGTATGGTCATGGTGTGGCTTTAAGTGCACAATATAGTTTGCAGTATTGAGAGAGGAAAAGGCCGAGCACTATCGTTGTGCGATGGCTTGTTTACCTCAGCAGCCTATTGGGCTGAAAGTTATGTTGACTTTCTTCTGTGGGTATCTCGTATTAGGATGGATATAATAAAGCTGGAAGAATGCTTGCAGTAGTTGGAACACATTTGTCAAACAAAGAGAAACGGGGTCTTTTGGCATCTAGTGCTTGAACAGATGAGTATCAAGAAGCAGACAAAAATGCTAATACCTGGCACCATTAGCGAGAGTTTTAAAGCTTCCAATGTCGATCTCGTGGAATAGGAAGCTGGCGTGTACGAACCTACCTCCGTCAGGTCAGTGGCCTACTACTTCGTTGGATGAGATCGCAATATGCAAGACACGAGGGTCTCTATGGGGCCATTTCAGCGCGCGGTATTGACAAGTGAATATATTGACTACCTGGTAGGATGATGATAGTCCTGGTTTAGAGGAGGTCAGAGAAGTGTTTGTTGATGCAACCATTGTGTACAAACGAAATAAAGCACTTAGAATGTTCCCGAGAATGCTCTTTATTCGGAGGAATTCAGTAAATTGCCCCACACACCCAAGAATATCCAGTTAATGATTCATCCTCAGAGGTACTGAAGTATCCCAAATAAGCAAAATAAATCTTCTGTTCTGGATCTACTGATGAATTGTCAAACTATGAAATACGTTTTGATCTCCAGGTCGTCAGCAGACTACTCACATTCTTCGCTAGGTTTTACTCTCACGACCCTTATCTATTGAATACACTTCTTCGAATTGTTGTTCTCTTCATCCAGATTTTTACCAACTAACAATGTCCTACGCCTACTGGAAAGCCGGGAAAGCTGACGAGTCGGCTGTATTTGAAGTGTTTTTTCGCAGGAATCCATTCAACGGGGAATTCACTATTTTTGCCGGATTGACAGATTGTATCGACTATCTAAAGTCATTCAAATTTAGTCCTGAAGGTAAGTAATCATAGGAGAATTTTGAAGGGGTTCGGACGTTAGGCATGAAGCTCATGCTCAAGACATTCGATGTCAGGTCTGTTCCAGGCATTCAGTTAAATCTGTTTATGTCTGGAGCTCGAAGTAGCTCAGTGATTAGGGCACTAACCAACTGACTGGATGGCCTGAGTATCTTGACTACTTCTGTCTAGGCTTGAGCAGCCTGGCACTATCTCAGCCCTACTGCTTCCTTCTGATGGCATGGCAGCTACGCACCGGAACGGTGCTACAGCTGAACGACCCGACCCCGTGCAATGTTGACTAAAAGAGATTTGCGGCCGAATGATTTGACTTGGATTGACAACATAAACCCATCAAACATAAATCGACTTGTGCCCTGTAGTAGTTCTTAGGGCACTAACTGACTGGATGGCCTGAGTATCTTGACTACTTCTGTCTAGGCTTGAGCAGCCTGGCACTATCTCAGCCCTACTGCTTCCTTCTGATGGCATGGCAGCTACGCACCGGAACGGTGCTACAGCTGAACGACCCGACCCCGTGCAATGTTGACTAAAAGAGATTTGCGGCCGAATGATTTGACTTGGATTGACAACATAAACCCATCAAACATAAATCGACTTGTGCCCTGTAGTAGTTCGGTGACTTAGTAACCTAGTAGGTTGCAGTATGGAATCATCTTAACAGTTTCAAGACACAAAAGGCCCTCCACGTTCTCCAATATCTTAGGGGTTCTTTTGTGATTTAATGGAGCACCTCAGCCTTACGGACTCCGATAAGTCATAAAATCAAGAAAAAGTCCCAAAATTTGGTTTGAGCGGAAAGTCCACCAAACGTACCTGTTCAAAGCTCAGTGCTTGTTTCTTCGGATCATATTGCAGTCTGTCTGACAGTCCGGTGCCGTACGGCTCCATAACTTACCTTGTCGGTCTGTTAACTACACTAGTAAATTGGATCTTCGTGCTCATTCGCGTTACTTAAGGGAGATTCTTAGTTTTTTTGGATTGTCTGTGTCCTTCTGTTCTCCCAGATATCGCATACCTCAAAGAAGTCATGCCTGCTTGTACTGATCCCGCTTTCTTCGATTACCTAATGACGCTCACGGCCACCGAATTTGACCTTTGGTCTGTGGAGGAGGGGACTGCCGTCTTTCCCCGAGAACCCATCATGCGTGTCGAAGGCCCAATCATTCTGTGCCAGTTGGTGGAAACTGGAATACTGAACTTGGTCAACTTTGCCAGGTTTGTCTTGCTGTTTGTAACTTATATCTATCCGAGAAGCTTGGAAACCAGATTGCCTAAGCGGAAAAGGTGCGAACTTACTGATCAGAAGGTCCGTGGTTCGAACCTAACCTCAGCATCTCGACTGCTCCTGCCTACGCTTTAACAGTATGGGAGTATCTCAGCCCTCGTGCTTCCTTCGAGTGGCGTGGCAGTTAGGCACAGAAGGATGAACACCTTAGGTTGGAAATAAATATCCAGACGGCTACTAGGTAGTTTCTGGGTAGAACAGTATGCTTTTGGTTGTTCGGTACCTCGAACGTCTTCCAATAGAATGCAATTTATTTCATCACTACTGATTTTTTGCAGCCTGATCGCGACCAATGCAGCGCGATTCCGTTTAACCGCTGGTTCAGATAAACTTTTATTCGAATTCGGTCTGAGACGCGCTCAGGGACCGGATGGTGGTTTGACGGCGTCCCGTTATGCATACCTGGGAGGTAAGTCAGAACTGATCTAGCTAATGCGTCTTCTAACTGACAGTCGTGGCTCGTATTCCATTCAGTTGTGCTCATTTTATCCGGGATTTGCGTTGCCAGAAGACATTTAAGTTACTGCCCATATTTCCGGACAGCGTTCTTGCAAATAAACGTCCAAGCAGTCCCTCAGACTAATCAGTTTGCCGGTCGGTTGATCGAGTTAGTTGACATAGATGACGTTTTTATCCTGCGATGAAGCTTTCCTTGTCTCCTGAGCTTTTTACACCAACCGAAAAGCAGTTTTCGTTTAGACTCTTCACTTTCTCTGCACACTGTTACACTCATCGTCTTTTGTTGTCAATATCCTAGCGTCAATCCAAAAAGCTTTGAACGAAGTATAGCGGTTTGCAAGTCCGGTTTCTCACTGCCAGCATTGTGTTGGTGGAGGTATAGTGGTATTCGATGGTTCTTTGGAGGTGATGAATTGACGTACAATCGGTTAACCTGCGAAGTCAACAAATTATCAGCTTCTAACTGGGCTCGAGATAGCTCAGTGATTAGGGTACAAACTTAGTAACCGATAGGTCCGGCCTCTTCAACTGTTCCTGGCTAGGCTTGGACAACCCGACAGAAGCTCAGCCTTCATACGTTCTTCATTGGCATGGAAGTGACACCGGCTAGTCTTATAACTGAATGATCAAGGAGCTTTAGATAGCTCAGTGGTTAAGGGGGTGAATTACTAACCGGAAGGTCCTTGGTCCGAACCTAACCCCGGCATCTCCACTGTCTCTGTCTAGATGCCCTAAAAGTATCTCAGCTTTCGTTCTTCCTTCGAGTGATGTGGCATCTATGCCTCGGAAGTTTGTTGCAGCTGAACTATTCACGTTTTTATCAGCCTTTTTGTGATAGGAATCATGTTAAGTAACCCAGAAAAGACGACAGTCATGGTAACTGATAATCACGTGATCCAATGAAGGGACCGTTTGGTTTCCATCTGGTGGCCGCCGGGTTAGACAGTGCTTGTGTTCAACTTTTCCCGAGAGAGAGGGAGAGCTTTTGCTTGACGCACAGTAACAGAAGTCGGCTTCTCTCATCTGTGCCGTGCATCAACTTTGAATGTTGATTCTACAAAGCTCGGTTAGCCTTATCGTTCGCAAGAGTGGCTTCGTCAGTGCTTTTTAGCTGGTAAGAAAGCCCACAGATATCTCGGTAGAATGTTTTTCTCATGCCTGTACTGCACCTTGTTGAAACACAGAGTTGGGACAACAGATAGATACCTATTTCTCTTGACTACTGACAACACTTATAAATTTTCCGAAAGCTCTTTGGCAGTACACGGATTTTTATTTCGATTTTGATTGAATTGAATGAATGGACGGCGCATAGAAAACTTCCTCCTGGAATCAAAGTGCGTTCGGTGTTTGAGTTGACTGCAGTTCGAGTAAGCCGAGTTCTTCCTGGGTGGTTTGATCGACTTATATGCATGCCATGAAGACATCAAACACTTCAATACCAAGACAGCGTGGGGTCTGTGCAAGCATTGACGGCCGGCAATTTTTACATTAAACTCCAGTGCACAAGAACCAGCTTAAGTCTACTATAGTTATTTTTATTCGGATCTCAGCGGGGCGCCTTTTATCTAAGAGATATCGATCAGCGAATCGACACCTGTTTGCGGAGTACGATTGTATTTGTAGGTAGAAAGGCGAATTCCTAGGCCGTTTGAGGGTTCTGAATACAGAGCATTCTGTCCAAAAGCTTGATCCATCAGATGGTGAAGAGATCCTGTTTGGGCGAGATGTCTCAGTGATTAAGGCGCGAACCTACTGACCGTGGTTTGAGCCAGACATCAGCATTTCGACTGCTCCTGTCTAGGCTTGGGCAACTTGGCAGTATCTCAACCCTCATACTCCCATTGAGTGGCATGACAGCTGAGCAGCGAAAGGAGTCTACAGCTGAACGAGTATTTATTAGTATCACTATAAACTTTTCTCTTAGCTTAGGCAGGTGATTACTTCACAGGTCGGTGCAGGTAACGTCCATAATTGATGATTACAGGTACCCGATCATATGCTTTTGGTTCATCTGAAGGCGGGGCAGAGATCATCATCATTGTCAGCTGTAAGAACCGCGTACTGGTCGTACACTGGTTGTAGCTGCCACAGTTTCGTTCACCGATGATTTGGGGGTAAGTAGCTGCGCAATGCACGCGCGAGCTGGTAAATTGGTGCATAAATCCAGCACTGTCAGTGAGTTGTCAAGCGGGGGAGGGGGGCGAAAAAGGAGCTA